AACTGAAAACTGGTGCATATGGTGTGATAGTTAGGCTTTTAACTTACTTTGCAGGCAAGACAAGAGTTCAGTCCCCAAGTGGGCAGATTGTATACTGCTGCTATTGTAAGCTGACAAAACGCTTTATAAAAATTCACAGCAGTAATGAGAAAAAGAGTTTTCTTGTCAGCGTTACCATTGAAAAATACAGTTCTTCAGAAATTTGAATCCAAATTTACTCACGATCTAGTCAGTTTCACTTTGATTTTTTCACACTAGTAGGGTAACTGAGTGATCAGGCCTTCGATTTAGCAAATAAAAAATATGGGCGCTACAATGAAACAAAGGCGTTTTGTCAGCTTACAGCAGTATAGCTTGTGTCTGTTTTTCTGCAGGAGCGCATCCCACACAGTTCAGATTGAACAGCTTGCTTCCTAAATGTATCTTCAATAGGAATGTAAAGAATTTTGGCTGTAACCCTATCAGTACGTTGTTTTACTATCGTATCCATACGACATGGGGAACTCTGTACCACCACTTTCCAAATAGGAAATTTACTGGTTAATCCAATCCGTATGCTTTGCATAGCAATCTGTCAAAATGATTTTTTGAGAAATACTGAAAGTTTCAAAGAGATCTTCATGCTAGAAGTATTCTAAAATGTGAAGAATACAACCCAGGGGATACAAAATGACACCAGGGCGTACGGACGGATAGGGTTAATTGTGGACAGGGAATGCCTGTATTTTCATCAGCAGCCAGACTTTATCAAGCAAAAAGAGTGATGCACAGATATCATGCTCTCAGGAGAGGTGTGAAAATAATATCATCATCAAGTGCTAGATCTGCAGCAGATATCGCCGATCATGGTTCTTCATTCATTTCCTTGCTCTGATGCTTTAAAAAAAGCTACGTTACCCTGATCTTTCCACGTTACCCATTTGTTTAGGTTCTTTACATACGTTGCTCTGGCCCTATCTCTGCCTCATTTGCCTTCAATTTTGCTAGTGAGAGCAAGATGTTCAACACCTTTATGTCTATTCAGGTGTCCCAAAAACTGCATTTGTCTTTTCCTGATGGTCTTTATCTCCGAGCGTCCTACGTGGGGTCATCAAGTACTACCATATTAAAAATAATATAAATGGAAAAACTCAATTGTATATTTCTCCTCCAACACACACCTCCACAGAAAAAGGTCCAGCCAATGTTTCAAAAGTCCATGCATGTCTGAATTATGCTGTTAATGTGAAAGAGCTTTAAAGTAAAGTGGGATGATTCTGTTTCTATTTTCCAGTTCCCATCTCTGCTTCTCTCTTTCTCTGTATCTGTCTGTCAGTGTCACCCTCTTTCTGTGTCTGCCTCTCTCTTTGTCTCTGTCTTACCAGTCTGTCTGTCTCATTTTTTCTCTATCATAAGCACACAAACACACAGACACACACACACACATATACATGTACATTATACACAAATCAGACACTGCAGATGAATAGAATTTAAATATGTGATATATTTTGAGGTCTCTTTTTTTCTACAATTATATGTTCATATCACTGGTACCATACATTTCAGGTTTTATACTAGACATAGAACCTTAAGCTGAATGGCATTAGAGAGTGGCACAATCAAAACAAATTAATAATATATTAATATAATATAAAAGTAAAAACGAACATGAATGAAAATGTTTTGCATGAAGTGAAACCATAGACTTAGTGCTACATACTTCAGAAAGAGCCAGTTCTAATTTGTGTACGCCTCTGGCTAGCTTCCCTCAAGCACCAAGGATACCATGTGCTTTTTGGTTTTTTTTTAAACATTATTTTTTACACTGTAAGTGGGCTACCTTTCTAAGATGGCCACTTTTCTTCTTGACAATGGGTGGCTGCCTTAGACAATTTGGACTGTATATCATGGTCTACAGAGGGTATGTAGTATAAAGGTTCTACTATTGCTATACATGAAATACAAAACACTATTGAACTATCATCTTCACAATTTGCTGGCAGTGATCTCGAAGGATAGCAAACACGGATTTGGGCACACTCACATAGCTTAGTTGGTATCATACAAGACTATGGTGCAAATTCCCATCCGGTGATATTCGACAAAGATTGTTGGAGTTTTCATAGCTTTCTGCTTCCACCCACTTGGCTTGACAAAATTGGAGATGGACGTTTGATTTGGAGATCCCATCTCATTCATGATCTTAGTGTTTATGGAGAAGCCACACCCATGTCTGACATCCACTGATATTTGCTAATCATTTTAAGGAATGGAACCTTATCAAAACTTCAGGCATAGCCTACAGAGGTATACATAATACAGATACTTCAATTTCATTTCTTGTCATGCTTGCAAGGGGAAACATGAGTTGCAGATATGAAACAAAGTATAAAATAATTAATGGTAAAAGTGAACATAATTACTTTGCAGGCTTGTTGATAGATAACACATGCCATCTAAAATCCTAAGTGCTCGTATTTAAAAAATGCTTGCATGATATATTTGATAAATAAAGTCACTGAAAAGTTATGATACATTAGAAAACAACAGATTTTAAGAGGAACAGTAGCCTACCAAAAATAAAATGAGAGCTATAAAAATACAGGGGCTATTTATCCTAAAAAGATAGTGCTCTCAAGTACAGTAGACTTTATTTAATGTGAAGCTGTTTAACACAAAATTCCTTTCACCATGAAAGGATTTCAAATCCTTATTTTTTACTTTCTTTATTCCATACATTGCAACTTCCCAAAACACAGAATGAGTCAAGACATTTCAAAATTTGAATACATTTGATTAAGGTTGAGTAATTGCACCTATAATATATATTAGGCCAATATACACAAATAGTGCAACAAAACTTCATTAGAAATTTTACAAAGAAATCAAAAGCTATAAAAATACAAAAGATCTTTTATGATGTTTCATCAAAGACCTCACATATTTCTTTACAATTAAATCATCAACTTCGTGAAGTCTTAATAAATAATAATTATACAAGGACGGACGTGGCATTTCAAAATCCAAATGTGTAAAATAGTGGCACATGAAAGCTATGAACATAAAGCAACAAAGTTCATAGTTTGTAACAACTAATATCAAACCTATTAAAACTGTCTACAGCAAATTTCATTAGGAATGGTATAAACGAATCAAATATATTTCGGCACAGTCCTCAGGTATCACCTACTGGTTGGTTTTGAGGCATTGCTAGGGAAAAATGGAAAGAGGAAAATATTTTTTGTCCTCTTACTTTTTCAAACCATCATACAGAATGAAGGGTCCAAGCAAACAAAATATTCCAAAGCAAGTACTGAAACCATACAGGATCACAGATTATATTCAAGTATAAGTAAAATATAAATTACTCCCTATAATAATCTCTATGCAATCATACAGAGATGTTGTAATCTGACCAGAATTCCGTATAAAACAATCTTTTCCCCTAATGTTTGTGTACAGGATACATCACTCCCTAAAAACGAAGCATACATACTGGCATTATTGAGGGATTTTGTCTCGTATCTCAGAAAGTGGAGAGATGAACATGCTTTGAGAGAGTTTAAAAAATCCGTAATTAACTGTCAAAAACAAACCACTATACAACAGACAAATCCCAACAATCTCTTGCTCTTCCCAGTATCAAATATCTCTTGCTCTTCCCAGTATCAAATATGAGGTTTTTGCTAATGATCAAGCTTCTGGTGGATAAAGACTGGCTGGTGGTGTGACCCCCCCCCCCCCCCCCCCCCCCCCAATGATCTTATAATAATAACAACAATAATAATAATAATAATAATAATAATGATAATGATGATAATGATAATAATATAATAACAGATAGCATTTGCATAGTGCCACTTCCCGCTCGACAGCAAGCTCTATGCGCTTTACAATGGCAATCATTGTAAACCAGCAGACCTGATAGCATTCTGAAACAATCTCAATTTCCTGGGAACCATACAGTGCAAGCTGCCATTTTATAGGCGCTAAAAGACTAACATACTGACGAGATCTTTCGCTGTTTATAGAAATATATAAATATACATGTACATAGATTAAACCCTATGAGCTGTAAACGTATCTCATATGTTTCGATATTCTGCTGTCCAGTGCTTTGTAAATGTATCTTGTACGGAGGCTAAACTCTCAGTTTTATGGCTTGTTCTAATTCTATGCAGTCTTTGTCAATGGATGATTTTATCTCTTTATTTCTCCTTCTATTGATATACTTTTCTCAATCTGCCTCTTATAATAAGCGAACAAACGTCGATTAAAGATAGTGACCTGTGATGTCTTATGCAAGGGGGCATTTGTTAAGCATGTGAAGTGCATATATACGGTTAGCAGTCAAGGGGTTAATCATTAGTTGTCACTAAAAAAATTCTACCGAGCAGACTGTGTTTCTTCCCTGCACATGGTAGTTTTTGAGGCTCACTGTATTGACCTCCGTATCATGTCTTGTGGTGCTGTTGTACAAGACGTCTACTTGGGTCAATGCCAACCAGAAAATGAAGGTTGTAGGGAGTACAATTAATAATAATAAATAGCATTTGTATAGCACATGTCCCCACTCGAAAGCAAGCTCTATGCGCTTTACACTATATTATTACCCCAGCAGACCATAGAACACTCAGAAACATTCTCAGCTTCCCGGGAAGCATGCAGTGCAAGCAGCTGGTTAAGCGCTCAAACACTAACAAACTGACAAGATCTTTCCCTGTATGTAGCTGGGTACCCATTCCCACCTGGGTGAAGTGGGGAAAATTCGTGTAAAGTGTCTTTCCCAAGGACACAACATCAGGCCCGCGGCTCGAACCCCCGAACCCATAACCTCATGATTACGAGTCGGTAGACTAACCACTAGGCCACCGACGCCACAATTAAAAGTACAATAATTATTGCATTGGCAAGCTGTTCGTATGTACAAGTATGAAGCAAAATTTTCCTGGAGAGTGAAAAAACGATTTCATTCTTTAAACAATTGTAACTACATTGTCTTATGTATATTTTCTTGCTTTTTCATCATTCAGAATTTGAATTTCAACAAAATATTTCTTGAGCCCATGCAACCGGTACCATAGAATTGGAAAACTGCATGAAAAAAATTTCAAAATTTTGGGCGTAGTTCATCTGAACAGCTGACGGACAATATAATGCACTCAGTTTTATCACAATATAATGCACTCAGTTTTATCATCACTAGAAGGCTTATAAATCATCAGTTAAATCTACCACTTCTTGACCTGGCATTCCACCCGTCACTTTTCTTTGCTTCTTATCAGTTCTTTTACCACAGGTCACTGGTGAGGATCTTCTTTTCAAACTGAACGTATGAGGAATTCCTTTTTGCTGGTTGCTCTGCTTCGACATCCACCCGTCAGACCCATTAACGGCCTCTTGATTCTGTTCCGTCTCTGGTTTTTCATCAAAGAGATATTCAATATCGTCATCTTGAGCATCATCCACATGAATGACGTCCTCACTGACCAGGACTGACACCGACCTTTCTCTCAGGCAAGCTTGGAGGGAAGAAGATGATGGTGGTGGCGATGACAACAATGATTTCTTCCTGACCACCCCCTTATACTTCTCTCCATCCTGTCTCTCTCCTAATCCTTCTGGTTTCAAAGCCCTCTCACTCAGTCTTTGTGGAGTACTGTTACTATTACCACTGATGGTCTTAGCACCTGATTTGTTACAGTTATAATCATTTTCCTTTAATTTTGTTTTTCTACTACTAACCACATGAACATCTCGTTTTTCGCAATTGAAACAATTTTCCTCCTCCACCTGTACAGTTGAAGAACAGCTTTTGTCTACCTCACTATGAACCACTAAAGGTGATGAGCTCTCCTTTAGACTTTTATTAATTTCATCTTTGTCTTTAACAGGAGTAAAAGCAGCTTCCTCAGTCACCGAAAAGGATTCTTTCACAGTCAGAAAGTCACAGTTATAACTTTGAGTTGCATTAGAATCGTTCATTTCCTCTGATGACTTTATAGATATTACATCCTCGTCTGGACAGTTCACTGAATTGCCTTTATCAGAGTGCTTGCATACATCTCCCAAAGTACCATCAGTTCCTTTTTTGCTACTGTATGAGTTGACAAGAAGAGGTTCAGAGTGGCTTGAGTCTTCATCCTCAACCTCTTCGGCAAGTTCATTCTGTGGTAAACTAGGGCTATCTCTCCTTCCCAAACAAAGTGCGTATGACAGGTCTTTTCCTTCCTGTGAATTTGGAATAAAATCTTCATCACTCTCCTCCTGAACTGATGAGTTGAGGTCCTCATTTATATCAGGGTGTTTTCTTTCTGATAGCGTTAACACTGTTTGTAATGACACATGATCAGATTTTTTGGGTTCTTTTTCCTCATGGTCACCATCTGACACTTTACACACATCTGTTTCATTGGAACATTTGGATTCAGTATTGCTTTTTTCACACTGTGTATCTATAGACACATGGAATTTTCTTTTCATTTTTCCAGATGACTCAACCTTGCCTTTAGATAAATCATCAACAAAAGAAGAGGATCCAGCATCCCATTTGCTCGATTTCAGTACTGATTTTGAGACTTCATCAGCAATCTGAAAGAACTGAATCTTGTATTCACTAAAGTCATTTTCTTGTTCGTCTTCCTCATCATCATCACAGACATCGGATTCACCACTCACGTACAAGCGAAAAGATTCCTCGTCTTCATTCTTTTCATCTTCTCTTTTTTCTTCCTCTTTTCCGGAACATAAACAATCCATTTCTTTCGGAGCTTCAACGTCTTCAATCGCTATATCCAGTTCTTCTTCATTACGATCAGAGCCCTCGTAAGAAGAGTGAACAGCAGACGCAGAACTTTTAGGAGATTCCGGACTTGCTTGTTTCCCAAAAAGAGAGTTCAAGTTTCTCACGCCTCTGGGGTTTTTAGCTGTTGGGACAGGTCTCTTGAGTGGTGAGTCCGGGCTACTGAACACCAGATCATCTGGGCTGTCACTGGCTTGGGTATCTTCAGATGAGAAGTGAGAAAAATGCAAAGGATTGAGTAAATTGACAGATACATATCTAAATAGGTGGAAATATTCAGTAATATAAAGAGGGGGATGAAAGAACACTCATTAGCCTGGAGAAAAAGAACACTCATTAGCCTGGAGAAAAAGAACACTCATTAGCTATGCAAAAATCAAAACAAATGTAGTTTGATTCCAAATTTATACAGACAAGGATTCATATGCTAGATACAAAAGCTAGCTCCAATTTTTCTTGCAATATGGTTAGGAAAAATCTGAAAGTCCTGTAAGTACAGTAGTCTCCGCCTAAATGCACGCCATACAAAAGCACACTCCGCTCAAACGCACACTTTCGTCATCTGACGGGTTTTTTACTATATAATTTAGACGTGCAAACGAACGGTCACTCCCTCTAAACGCACGCTCCGATCCTCGAAACACGCCGACAACTTAAGCTTGGCAAGGGGAAATTTTCACGACAACCTGCACAGGCTACATAAGACAAGCCTAGAATTTACTAGAAAACCAGATATTTGGTGAGAGTGCCCCTCATGCTGTACAAAGGGAGTGATGGACAACGTTTACACACCCTACTTTCCACTGACGCATAGGTCTCGGTCTCGGGCTGGTCGGTAAATTTGTTTGGGGGGTGAGGGGGGAGATGGGATTGGGGGGACTGAAATGTTTTTTGATTGGTCACTGGAGATGTATCTTTGAGAGAAGGTTTCTGACTGGTGTTTGAGTTTGAGTGACTGCGAGTAATGTTTGGTTAGATCTAGGCCTGAAGCGCGAAAGGCGTAAATGCTGTAAAACACTAGACAGGCCTCTATAGGATTAAAGATTAGCCAAGAAAGCCTAATAAGCTGCGCTCGAAGAACTTATAACGTACTTTTGTTCAACGAATCACAAGACAAAATGTTTCTCGAGGATGATTCTGCATGAATTTACGGTTGTGGGCGGTCGCTTGGAAAGCCATGTGGCTGGTCCGTCGTCTCTATTACTATCACCAACAGTTTCCTCATAGGCTATCTGTTCCCGACGTTTATAGAATCTAGTGCATATTCATTACTTTGAGTTTGTTTCCCCCCCCACTCAACGTCTCTGCATTCTTAACCCCTGTCGGGAAATCCTTCACTAAACAGTCACGTGTCGTCACATTTCCGACCAAAATGACCCCCTGCTCCAAGGGAGGTCACTAGAGTAATAAGAAATTGAGATGACTGTGTCCCTTCCTCCCCTTGCAAAGGTTCATGTAAACGCACGCTCCGTATAAACACACGCTCAGGAGCCCTCTCGAGCACCGTGCGTTTAGGCGGAGACTACTGTACACTGCAAGTATATATGACACACAGAAAGTGGAACGTAGAAGAAAAGAAGTCCTGCCTTAGCCAATGGCCCAAACAAAAGTTTAGTCAATCCCCTACCAAAATTGAAAAAAAAAGCTGTTTGTTGTAAGATAAACAAACTAGAGCACCCATGATGACACACACAGTTGCCTGAAACTTGAGAAAAACAACTTATGTTTGAGTAAAAGTTTTACGGCACTTGCAATACAATTAGTTCACATAAGTGCCAAAGATTAGAGGTGTTATAAGAGAGTAACAAACACAATAAAGGAGGATAGATACGGCATAAGGGCAACAGACTGATGACTGATAGGAAAGAAGGAGCAAACCACACCGGAGCACTAACTAAAATAAATATATAACAAAATTACCCAACAGACCTGGTAGGTTACCAAAAGGTTTCACTGTTCGCAATGTCCTCAGTTCACCTAAAAACGTTGGGCCAGAGGAACAATCTGTCGTTTTTAGCCGAAGTTTGTGGGGGTACTTCAGAAAACTGTCCAATCTTTTCTGTACCTAGAAATTCCACAAGGAAAGTGACAAACTTTTTTCAGCAAAATTATTAGTATGAGACATATTATGTGCTATCTTTCTGGAAAGTGAAAAAGATTGCATCATGCACAAGATGTTTTGTTTCATTATTATCTCACATGCGGAATGAATTGTTTTACAAATACAAAGAGAATTTTAGAAATAAAACAATGTTGCATGCTATACATTCTCTGTGATAGATCATATAATTTTATCAATGTTAAATCTACTGCAGCATGCTCACACACCAACTGACATTTGAATTCTTCACACATTTTTTGCCTTTTGCAGACCTATATGACATACTACATATTCCATGAACCGAAGCACGGCACTAACTTTAATGCAAATGTCCAAGGTGACGTACAAAACAAAACAAAATTAAAACAAATTAACTCTACTGAAGAAAACATAGTGCATTGCAACATCAGGAGAGAACAATATGTTTCAATTGCTTTTTGCAACTTTAGTTAATTAGAAGTAGACCAAAAGCATAAGATATTGGATTTTCGGTCATAGAATTTCTTCTTCCACATCAAACTTTAACAATATTATCATATACCTTGAAACAACACATATGCACATACATACACATATATAAGTAAAGACATGCGCTGGCACATACAAAAACACCCCTGGACCAGAATTCATATAAACGCACCGTGCTCATGGTGGCATCTGACTGAGGCAAGACATTCGGAAACAGCCTCTCTGGCTGAAGGTAGCTCACCACATCTCGAATCTCGCTGAAAAAAAAAAAGCAGGAAGAAAAACTGACTGCAGAAGATAAAAGAACACGAAAAATACAAGTACTTGGTCAAGGAAATTGAGTCCTTGCCACTGGTATACCAGTGGCGCATAAAAATACCTGTATTCCTAGCCACCGGTACAGCGGTAGAAGAGACCCTGTCCCAAACTCCGCCATTCTGGGACAAAACATGGACAGGAAATGAAACAGTGTTTACTACACAGGACATTATTGGTCATTTTGAAAATCTTTCTGATTTAGATACTGGTTATGACAAGGACTACAAGCATGGATATGGAATATGATTCTGACAATCATATCATCATCATCCAATGCCAGATCAGCGACAGACATCGGCGATCATAGTTCTCCATTCATTCCTTTGCTCGGAAGCTCTAAAAAAAGCTACGTTTCCCTGATCTTTCCCTGTTACCCAATTGTTTAGGTTCCCTAAGTATGTTGTTCTGGGCCTTCCCCTGCCTGGCTTGCCCTCAATTTTGCCAGTGAGAGCCAGATGTTCCAGACCCTTATGTCTATTCAGGTGTCCCAAAAACTGCATTTGTTGTTTCCTGATTGTTTTTAACATTGAGTGTCCCACGTGGGCTTCATCAAGCACTACCTCATTTGATTTCTTTTCTTTCCACGATGCTCTTAGCAGTCTCCTAAGAAACCACATCTCTGTTGTTTCTATTTTATTTTCACTGTCTTTAGCGATTGTCCAGCATTCACAGCCATATAGAAGGGTTGACCAAACATGGCATTTCAGAAATTTCATTTTGGTGTTCATTGAGATGTTTCTATTTTTCAGGATTGGGCTCATTTTATTGAAACTAGCCTTAGCCATTGTAATTCTCCGTCTTATTTCTGTGGAACATTTGGCATCGGATGTTATCATATATCCTACATATTTAAACTATTGGACTAGTTTGATCTTTTCACAGACAATCATATAAATATCAGTAATATATTGCTCAGGAGCTCAGGCAGAAGGGCATGGTAGCCTCAGGAGGTCAGGGCTCAAAGGGTTCAGCATGGTTCACCTCTGAGAGAAACCCTGAATATACAATTCATTTCAACCACTGAGATGAATCAAACTTGTAGTCCAGCATAACACCAACTGAAGCCAGTGTCGCAAACCAGCACAAGTGGGGTAATTGTAAGCTCTTGACCACAGAAGATGATAGTTTATAATCCTCTTGTTGTTTAACTGATTCAGCCCGCAGCACCGCTCACAGCGTCTGACTGTCTCCTGTGTTTTGACCCAGAGCTGCACAGAGCGGCTTTTATATTTTGCTCCCTTTCTTTACATCACTTTCCTCTCTTCTTTTACCTTACCACTTACATTTCAATCCTTTTTTCTGGTGTCATTGAATAGTATTTTTAAATTCTTAACATCTATATATGCCACACATAGGGATTTTATCAAATTAAGATATTTCTTTATTAACTTTTTGTGAGACCATGTGAGGTCACGAAGCGGTCACAAATTATTTGCATTAGAAGTCAAAATTATCTGCAGTTTGAATCAGTTGATGACTCTTTAAACACTGTAGGTTTATCTAAAACGAAAGGGGAGGGGGACCTCCGGATTCTATTTCCATCACCCACAAACCAAGCCCAACAGATGGAGAGCCTTAAATTTTCCAGCATGATACCACAACTAAGCTAACAGAGCGCCATTCATACCTCTGGCTTTTTCTAAGATACTGAATCCCACTCTGTTTGACCTATTCCTGACAGGCAGAGCTGAAGCAACCATCTCTTTAACTCTTTATCTCTAGAAGGGGTTTTTCCACTATGCCCTCTTTTGGTACAAAACCTGTGATTGACATGCACGTCACTAAATGGGTCATTAATCCTTTCACTACCAGACCTGCTACGTAACCCTATCAAATAGGTCTAGACAATGTTGGTCCTGGTTGTGATGGGGTTAAATCAAAACCAATGAACTATTTTGATAGAGTTCTTCATCCTATGAAATAGTGAGAGAAACGACAGCCAAAAGGTATTATAGTGTGATTGTCGTCGTAGAGGAATTTGATCAAGCCACTGACAGCAGATCACTGGCACAGAATTTCCAACCCCAAGCCGGTGGGGCAGCTTGACGGAGGTAAGGAGTTAATTATCAAAAGTGTGTCAATGGGGATTTAATTCATTTAACAATCTTTTACAATCAATAAATTTCCCAAGATTCTAATTTCCCTCTGACCTGTAAGATGAATGCATGGAGTAGCAGACACGATGCAAGCCTTTCTGAGTGGCCGGAGCCACCACCAAGTCCTCAGCGCTAGCCTTTGTCTTCTCTGACGTAAACCACATTGTAGACGGGCGAATGTTCATGATCTTAAACTTTTCTCCCTTGACAGGATGGTGTCCGCAAGGCAGTCGAGATGCTGAAGGGAAACCACCCTGTAACAGAAAGTGTGCGCATATAAGCCATTCATCATCATCATTGTCTCTCTCACCCTGCATCAGGGTGTAGGCCAAAAACAAACACTTTCCACCTTTTCTTATCCTGGGCAAGTCTCCTGATTTTGTACAAAAGCCCTAGGCATTAAAATAAACTTGAGAGCAGTGACTCTTGCAATGAAGTTAACACCAACATCTTTATTGTACTGGTTAGACACTTCATCTTGCATGCAAAAGACATGAGTTCAATTGTCACATGGAAAAGGTAATTTAGTAAGTTCTTCTGTTTTTCTGCCAGAATTATATCGCATTTCCCCTATTGGCCCTGATATTCAGGGCTGAGGCAACCTGATTCCTGAACGATTTTCATCATGTCAAGGGAAATACACTGCAGTTACAGTCATTTACTTAATATTCAGGTGGAAGAGGCGAATGATGATGATTATGATGATGATGATGATGATAATGATAATGATGGCATTAATATTATTTTCAAAAATGTTCCTGAGCATACCAAATTTTTGAAATTCTTCAGCCTCCACTGTTTTTTGTCTTTTTGCAGACTACTATGATGATGATGATGATGATCATCATTATTTTATCATATTCCTGACGAGGGCCAAAGGGAAAAACGTTGAACTTACAACTTATTTTACAGTGCTATAAATATCGAAAAAGTCCAGTCTCTATCAATTTTTTGCCTTAAAAAAAAATAATTATAATGACCTTAGTGGGTATGACTCCCACAAGGAAGGTGTGTGTGGATACACATGGTAGATAGCAATTAATAAAGTTTCATCTGAAATACATCATTCGCAGAAACCATTTCTACTAAAAATGTCTCAATAAGGTTTCAGCAGTTTATACTCTCTCTCTCTCTCTCTCTCTCTCTCTCTCTCCTCTCTCTCTCTTTCTCTCTCTCTCTCTCTCTCTCTCTCTCTCTCTCTCTCTCTCTCAAAAGTACATCATCATTTAACAGAGAGAAAATAATTCTAAGAGCAAATTAATGTGGGGGCAAGACAAAAATGATACCTTGGAGGAGCAGGCATGAATTCGAGTCTCATTTGGGTCTGCACTGAAGTAGCTTTCTAAACCTGGGATTTCAGCATACAGGTCACTTTTCCACTTGAGTACATGAACCTGATAGAAAAATTTAAAGAAAGATTAACTAATACCAACCATTTAAAAAAAACAACAACAACCCCCCCCCCCCCTAAAAAACCCCAACAAACAACCAAAACAACACAAAACAACAACAACAAAACATTCTAGGGGGAGGGGGGGGGGATAAAACACAAAAATAAAATTCAAACCAAATGTAGGAGTTTGCAGGCTGAAATGCATCATGGTAGTGGCTTGATTCTTTCAGCAGCCCGCCAGAGCTCCCCGGCTCGGGGTCACGGGGTTAATGAGCCCTGAAGCGACTTTGCCGGTGTCGGTTAGGAAGTTCACATTTTTTAAAACGATATAACTTCTTCCCCATCCCACACAGCAAACCATCAAGCAGATGTACTAAAAGCTCAATGTCTTGAGATTTATTCTGCATTAGAATGGTTAATTTCTGTGCTTTAGTTTTTGTTCTAGACAAGTATTTGTAGAGTACCCAGTTCGTCCCATTGTAGTTACAAACTTATGAATGAATGATTGTTAATTTAAAAAAGGCACGACAGATCTCTCCGAAATCAGTGTTAAACTGACTACGAATACCATGTCTTTTACCATGAGAAATCTTAAATTTGCGCTAGTAGTAATAGTCAAGTTATAAGAGAAGAAAGATGCACATCTGCATTTTTTAATGAAAGACGATCAGCGTTAGCTCTTATTTTACTATTAAACAAGAGAAAGTTACTCTGTGGTTGTTCATGAATTATGCTGTGTCTGTGGCAGCCTTCATACAACTAAAAAGATATAATATAGGCGATTAACAAACGCCACAAAACCGTGTAAATACATGAGTAGAGATAAACTTCTTGTATGGAATAAAAACAATGACAGCTAACATATTCATTCTTAGTTTTTGTGTCGGAAATATGCGCGGACACAATTATGAATGTAAAGAAATAAGTCTCATTGTCAGTTATTGCAAATGGTCATAGAAACGAAAAATAAAGCTGGAAAAGTCTGGTGCTGATTCAGTGTCCCTGGAAAGCTAGAAATTATTCTTATAACCCAATTACGAGAAGTCATCTCTAATATTCACTCAACTTACAAAACCTAGACTAAGCGTTTTAAGCGTGTATTACATTGAAGATGTATTCTGGCACTAAAATCAATTTGCACTTTTCTTAGAGAAACTTCTTGGTAACTTTTATAAACTTTCGAGAAAATATGCGAATATTCACGATTATATAAGACACATAAAGTTGTATTTGGAGGAATTACTTCATAGCGTATTGTGTACCCGATGGATAAAGTTGCAAAATTACAGCTTTCTAATGTATGCGCAGATACCATCTTTTCTGAGTATCTGCACCAATGCTATGTCGTTCATGTTCCAAAAGTTCGACAGATTTTGTCGAGGCCTTTTTTTATATTGATTTTTTTTCATTCACGCTAGTCAAAAATAAATTACAAATTAGCATTGCCGACTCCAGCGCGTCTAACGAAACAACCAGACAAGTTACGTCCGTTCTTTTTTGAGTCTCAAGAGCAGAAATGCATGCTTTGGGTGCACTAAATGAGAATTGCCATAAATACAAGGATACACTTAAAATTGTACGTTGAAAAGTACCAAAAATTAAATCGGCCCAGACAGAGCGGCGACAGGGAGCTGACCCCCGTGACCCCGACGTGATAAGGCGCCCGGCGGGGAACCCCCCGCGGCAACTAAAATTCCACTGCCGGTGCGCCGTGATCCATCTTTTCACTTGTAGTCACATCTTTCACTGAAGAAGTCTTTTATCTCTGCAGTGTCTTGACTACGGACCAAAAATTATGTCTTTCTTTCAAAGGATCAGTCTCTGTCTAACAGCCAAGACTGTTAAAGTAAAATTGAACACCCCCACCCTCTCCTCCCCTCCCTCTCCCGCTGTATGATGGGCGACTGCATTACAATGTCTTAATTTTTTAGGTGTAACACTCAAACCAAGAAAGTAAACACAAGTGACTGACATGATATATTCATTCCTTTATTCCAATGTGAAGGACAGTTAAAGAGCACCAACCCCCTCCCCCCCCCAAAAAAAGGAAAAAAAAGTTCATCTCATACTTAACTGTCTGTGTTGGTACTGTGTGAAACTCAACCGGTACAAAAACAAACAACTGAAAACGGATACCCCAACACTCCAAACGTTACCTTGGTTTCCAGCTGCCTGGCAAGCTCCACCAGTAGATGCTCATGGCCGTACCTGGCAGGACAGGAAATGGTGACTACGTGGAGGGGTGAGTTTGTGAGCCAGGCTGAGACAAGACCTACTGTGGCCTCCACACACTGCACACGACTAGGGATGTGGTACGCCTCCGAGATACAGAATGTTGTGTCGACGTACATGCTGCGAATGTTTTTCACGCTGAAAAATAAAAATCTATCACTTAAACCATTATAAAAGTTTTAAAAAAACCAACAAAAGACTTTGCAAGATATTGCTACCTCAGAATTACAAAGTTCCATCTGACATTTTTGGCCGTTTTGAGTTACTAAAACCATGAGGTCAGAAAAAAAATATTTTATCTGCTCTATCAAAATCGTAAGATTTTTCTGAGTCGTTATCAAGACATTCAAAGAATTGAATTCCAAAAAGCTTGACATGATTTGAAACTCAAAATCTTAGACGTCAAATTTCTCTAAACTAGGTTGGCCTACTGTGCAGATAGAGCTTTCTAATTCTGAGGTAGCGATATGTTAGGAGGTCATTCAAAAAGCAGCATACAGTACAAAGATATCAAGTTTAAAATCTACAACAAACCACTATCTGAATACAGTCACCTTTTGATCCTTCTTGCCATGAATTGAACTCAAACGTACAAATGCGATGTAATACACAACAATTTTTTTAGATTATTAGAGAGAAGACCTGCTTCTGGCACTGAAGTAGTGACTACCCAGGGTTAGGCTTAGCTGGATATTGCAAGCAACTCAGTATGTTCCCACTGACATCCCCTCCATGTTGGAAGGACCCAATGAACATGGATTAGTGCTTGAAAATAATAACAATATCAACAAAAGCAACAACAATAATACAGGAAAAATGGTGAAATGGTAGAGGTTGAAACGCCCTTATCAACACTGTTAGGTTATGTAAGAGGCGGGACCTTCGAGTTTAACGTCCATCTCTGAAAGGACCGAGGCATGTGGGAAATTCGTGTAAAGTGTCTTTCCCAAGGACACAATGTCCGACCGAGCTGAGGCTCGAACCCCCGAATCTGCAATCTCACTATTACGAGTCCAGCAGCCTAAGCACAAGGCTACAGACATCACCAATAATATATAACAATAATAATAATAATAATGATAATACTAATAGCAATAACAATAATAAGACCATTATTTTATATAACACACTTCCCAATTGGGCTCAAGGTGCTTTCCATTGCTCACAATGAAAACAAAACTCCTCTCCTCCTCCTCTCTTCTCTCTTTCTCTGTATGGCAGATAAATAAATAGGTACCAAATCGACATTAAAAAAGAATGAGCAACTATTAACAATAAAAAGCATAGAATAATACCCGATCAAAACTAAATTTAAATAGGTGAGGTTTAAAAATTCTGTTTAAACTGTGCAAATCTGAAGCCTCCAGCAATTATGTTAGCAGAGGGTTCAAAATAAAATTTTTCAGTACAGAAAAAAAAAATTGCATTCAGTGCAATAGCTGGAAAGAGGTCAAATTATGAAGTAAACGCTCTATTCATTGATCTAAAAAATATTCCATTTGAAAGAAATGAACTTATTACAAGCCATTAAATGTAACGTTTATTTGTGTAGACAAACTGAATGTTCTCAAGGGTGGACATGTTCAATTCAGTTTCCTAACTGGACAGGTTTCAACCTCTTACAAGTCCAATTCCCAGCAATTTAACACAAAAGGAGAAAAAGAACTTCTCTTCAGGTTTCCACAATAGTTGATCTGATCAAACAAACAAAATATATTAACTGTGTTCCCAAAACAATCAGTTATAACCTATACTGTACTCACATTTGCATGATGAGTTCATTTTCTACAGGGCTCTTTCAATATCATGCTGAAAAATTAAAATGACTACAACCCCTAAGCATATAATACTGCACAGCCCCAAAACATTACCTTTCATTGATATGTAAAGCTGACATCTTAGATGCCTGATTCAACTCCCATCGGAAATCTCCGGTGTATAAGGAAGTCCCCTGGTGTCCCTCAAACAAAAACCTGCAACAAATATAGCACAAAGTCTCGAAATTGAAGCTGAAGAAATTAAAACCATCCTTTTGACACTTTCTCTGCAACAAATATTGTCAAGTCAGCACGTACAAGATAACTGTACCTTTTTTTAACGGCAAAAGAACAATAGAACAATAGACCCAAAAAATTCATAGAAGTCTACTCAGAATTTAGTGTTTCTACAGTTAAAAATGATTGTTCATGATCCAGTAAAAAGAAAAAATAACATTGAAAACTATTATTAAAAAAATATCTAGAAAGTCACTGATACAGAACAGCAACATGTCAGACGTTTAGACTCAGTGGGTAATGTGACTTAAACAAAAATCAGTATCCTTGACAATTTCAAATCACTTATAGTTCCATATGATTAGGACTCATTAAACGCAATGGTGAACCCTATTTTTAAAAAAGATGTGAGTGCACAGTTGGCTTTTTAAGTATCCAATTGGACTGTGGCTAACAATGGTTCATTGCTCAATAAGGCATTGTTTTGACAAGTATTTGTGCGTTTTTATTAACAAAATTTGTCTCTATTCTGAAGCAGACGGACAATGAATCAGACTTTCTTCCTCAGCTCTGCAGTGGTAAAAGGTAGTAGCTGAGATACATGTTTTACAAAATTGAGATCATTCATAAGGCAGGCTTCTTCGACCTAGTTTGTTTGTGTTGGATACATCCTGACAAAAAAACAGAGACATTTAATAAAAAATTCTCCAACAAAAGAAAATCAAACTCACATAAAGGACTTTGGTGTGAACTGAGAGGGGCATTAAACCCATAGCATGGTGCTACATAATATAATAATAATAATAAGGAGGAGGAGGAGGAGGAGGAGAAGAAGAAGAAGAAGAAGAAAAAGAAGAAGAACACCCTTTTGTGACTTGATGTCTTTTATCCAACAGATTGGCAGAAATTTGACAATAGTTGTTGAACCTTTCGAGTGCAGAACCATGATGGCCTAATGGTTTTTCTAATCTTCTTTAGTATTCTGATCTTTTTATTAGTAGAATTACTTGGTCAATGGTGTCAAAAGCTGCCGACAGATCTAGAGACTTAGCATTACAACTTTGCCAGCATCTGATTCCATAAGGATTTCATTTACAACTTTTAGCAGCGCTGTTTCTGTGCTGTGATTAGCCCTGTAAGGTGACAGATAGTGTTCGATAAGCTCGTTGGATTTTAAATGATTATTAAGTTGCTGTAAGACCTCCTTTTCAAGGTTATTAGAGAGAAAAGGAAGGTTTGGAACTAGTCTATAGTTTTTCAACTCGTTTTTGCTCAAGGGATGGTTTCTTCAAGTACGGTTTTACTGGAGCATTTTAAAAATAATTTGGTACTATTACATTCTTTAAAGAATCATTGATGATTTTGGTTACCGTAGGCGCAATCACATCGCTACAGTCAGTCAGTAAAGAGCTTGGCATGGGGTCTAATTCACAATGTTTCTCTAGTGCCTCTAGAATACGTTATTTTATAGTACTCTCTGTTACACTTTTAAAACAGGTCAGAGGTGTTCCATTGAAATCAGAAAAGTCATTGGACTTATTTTACAAAAGTAAAAAGGAACATAAATATCAGGCAATAACAAAATGAAGGTTGTAAATATAATATCGTAACATTGCCTATGGTCTTCTGCTAATCGGACAGAAGTGTCCATTACGTTCTTAAAAAGTTAAAGAGAATCTACTTACTTACCCAACAGTGGCTGCTTTTGAGTAGTTGAGGTACTCAGTTGGCGTCCATTTATACAGGATGGGTTCGCATCGACAACATACAATGATAAAACACTTTTCGAAACAAACAAATCTATAAAAAAAATTTAAAAAAAAATAAATTAGTTGACACAGTACTTTCACGTTAGCACTTTTGCTTGGAGATTTAGATGGGTTCTGTGGAGAGTTTATGTGAGGGGGGAATAGGGGAATGGATGCTGGAAGATAACGTGCACAGAAAACACAAATTAGGTTTGCGGAGAATTTTGATGAAACGCGCCACTTCAAGCGGATCTCTGGCGGGAAGCAGGATACGGGCGTTTATCATGTTTGCAAAAATCTGAGATACTGTTAATCGGACAATTTTAAAAACCCTCAAATTCTCCTGGTTACAGGGTGAGATGAAAAAAAAAATTGTAACGTCAACAAGTTTTCATATCAGCAAGGACGTGGGAAAATTTGAAAAATGAGGGTTGCATCATTTTGTGTTGTAGAACACAGTGTGAGAATCAACGCAGTAACAAAGTAAAAACATAATGTGTACTGTCAGCTTTCTGCTGACGAGTGCTCTTTGTCTAAGGCTGAGTTTAGAAAATAATTATGTATTGCATCAGTTTGTGTTGTGGAATGTCGTTTGAGAATCTGCGCAGTTAAAGAGAAAAACAAAATGTTTACTTGCATCATTCTGCTGACGGTGCTTTTTGGTTTTTGCGTAAGGTTGAGTTTGAAACTAGTTATTTTAAATGTTTTGTGCGTTTGTGGGAGATAAAGTATGTTACTTGTGTCTGATTTTTTAATGTATGTGTAAGCCTGAGACAGAGAAAGAGAAAATGAGAGGGAGAGAGAGAGAGAGAGAGAGAGAGAGAGAGAGAGAGAGAGAGAGAGAGAG